TACATGTCAACTTATTATTCTAACTCTAACCAATCTGTCTACTAATACTCTAATGAGAGGTAGTTGCAAATTAATGAGAGTTAGTTTACATGTTGTTGCGAAGTTGCTCATAGTTAGTAGAAAATCTAAAGTGGACTATCGAAATAAAGTGTAATCAAAATGTGCAAAAATTTTACCTTTACAATTTGCAACAGCTTGTCACTGGGACAGTACCCTTAAACAGCAACACTTTACAATAAGGTTCCATTAGTTTACATTAGTTAATGTATTTAGTATTTAATGAAACCTTATTGTAAAGTGTTACCCGCTTAAACTTTTTGCCTTACATACCCCTAAAAGTTGCATTTTAGAACCTTAAAATAGTTACAGTAAGGTGGACACTTAATATTTGGCAATATTAGTGATTAGACTGTACTGAGACTATTGGAATGATTACTGAATTGAGCTGGATGATGAAATCACTGTTCCCTTTCAAGGGAACTCACATTGCATCGTATGATGACATTTTGGGAAACGCCTTCAGTGTGACTGTGTCTAAAGCATGTGTGCAACTAGTCCAATTCTGATTGGTGCTGCGTTGCCTCGTGACGTGTGACAGTGTTACGCGGAAGCTATAAAGGGAGGCCAAGTGTTATGTTCGCTCCCTCAGATGAGGTTTGTACAAAATTGTGTTCGGTTTTCTCCTGCTGGCCAGTTGCTTCAGGGCACCGAACTCAGTACATGGAAAGTACCAGAGGTTAGTATCAAAAGGCTGCTTTGGGAAGAGATCCTGACGCTACGCACGGGCCTCTGAGGGTGCCCCATCGGGACCGACAAGATCTCAATTCTCCACGGAGCCCTCAGGAAATCGATGTTTGTATCCCGCCGTCAAGTGCGCTTTGGTACACATTGGTTTCCAGAAAACACACGCTGCAGTGTTCGTCCCTAAGGCTTGCGGTCAGGCAGTGCTCACGTCTGCACTCCGAAAATCGTTTTCGGTTACTCCTTTCCGGTCCTCCACTTCAGGGTATCAAAAACGACACAAACCCGAGGTCGGTCTTGAGAGGCTGATCCCCCTAATAGATTACTTTAAAAAGCATGGAAACTTCTACCAAATTTATCTCAGTGGGTCCTGTGTATAGGGGGTGGTGATGGAACTAGAAGTTCAGTCCCTTGTGGCGGAGGAGGCCTTAGAATGTATCCCTCCTCCCGAGAAGGAGTTCGGGTTCTACAGCTGGCACTTCATAGTTCCAAGGAGGGTTAGGGGTTGCATCATATCTTAGATCTGCAGCAATTGAACCGTTCTCTGAGGAGATAAATGTTCAAGATATTAACTGTCCCGCTAATTGTGAGTCAAAACAGGTCCAAGGACTGGTTTGTCACAATATATCTAAAGGATACATTTTTCCATTTATCTATCCTTCCTTAATACAGGAAGTTCCAGAGGTTCGCTTTTGTGGGTGAAGCGTTCCAATATTGTGTTTTTCCGTTCGGCCTAGCACTATCTCCCCGCACCTTTGCGAAAAGTATGGATGCATGTATGGTGCCGCATCAGGTCCTTCTATGGTCCCAGGGCAAGTTGCTTTCATTTAGAGCAATGTATATCCCTGGTGACCAACATTTGGGAGCAGACATCCTGTTGAGGCAGGGGCTGAGGCCCGGGGAATAGAAATTATACCCAGATCTGTTGGTGTCACAAGAGATTACCCACTGTTTGCTCTGGTTCTCCCTTATGCCACGGTACAGACTTAGCTGAGGCTTTGTCTGTATGCTTTCCCCCCAATTTCTCTGCTCCCAGGAGTTCTAGAGAGAGGGGGGCTGACCATTGAGGTTGACCAGTTCCTGAGTCACCAGTCACCTTCCACGCACCACTAAGTGGTGGAACTCTGGCGGAGCATTACCTGGTAATTTGATTCCTTCATGGCATTATGAGGATGAGGCCTGCAGCTCAGGTTAGAGTCCCAGCAGGGAGATCTAACCATGACTTTAGAAGAGTTGTCCCTGGCACTCTTTGGACCTTTGGCCTTGGCGTATAGTCCTTCAGACATGCATCCTGCGCCTGTGTCGGAGGGCCAAGAGAAGCATCTACTTTGTACGACTGCTGACCAGTCGTTGGTATGCTTCAGGCCCCCCAAGACGACTCCCAGGCTGCCAAACTAACAATCAGCAGGTGGATTTCAGAGGCAATTTCTGAGCTTGAGGCGCACTGTCTGCCCTTGCCTCTGCCAGTAAGCCCATTTTACCCGGAGTATGGTAACAAGACCATGGCAACGTAGACTGGACCCTCTGGCTACACCAGGGTCTGAAATGATCTCTTCCTGAGCTGTGCCTGAAGAGTTTCATACTAGGACAGGCATTTGTCAGTATGGCCAAGTGGGTATTTAATTCCCCAAACTGTCGTCGTACGACACAGCACAAGTTCCCTCGAAAGGGAACGTCTCGGGTTATGACTGTTATCTCTCAGGGAACAAGGTACAGTCGTAACCCGAGACATTTTCTACAGTGCTGCTTTATAACTGAATTGAGCTAATTTCATATTTGATGACTTTTACACAGTTATTGAACAAAACTGTATCAACACTGAACTTACCTCAGCTGAACAATGACACTTTTATTTTTAGAGCTGCTTTACAGCAGAATTGAACACTGTTTATATCATTGAAACATTATTTTCCTGTTTATCCTTGTAAAGCTGCTTAAAACAATCTGTATCGTTATATATATATTATATATATATATATATAAAAAAGGTGACTTGATTAATATGTACCCTTAATGTACTACTATGAACCTTTTAGGGGCACACAAGGTACAAAGATGCCCCTTTAATGGGTTCCTATTATGCTCATTTACAGGTCTACTCTGACTGGTAAGCCAGCCCTAGTCTGTTGTGATTTGTCTACTGCTTGTAGCAAGTGCTGGAAATGTAACGCCATAACCAGCGAATATCAGCTCCGGAAGCTTTTCTGTAAACACTACTGTAACTACGCTAACTATAGCCTCAGTTTTGCAGGAACCCCGTTGTAATGTGACGGAGCGGTAAAGGATTTCAATAAGTTACTTTGCTTATGGTGATAATTGTCGACTACGCCACCCTGAATAAATCAGGGAATATCTAAATAACCCAGCAGTTAGCATTAGGTCACACAGGTTCGTGTGTGTCAGGGAGGTTAGAGACAAGAGTACAACTTAATTACAAAAAAAGGTCTTTTATTGACATACAAAAATAGTTAAAAACAATATCTTCTCTTAAAACAAGGGCGCACAGCGCTCAATGCACAAATGTCGAGGCACAAAAACAGGTGCTCACAGGGGGGCAATATGAGTGGCACACACTTTGGCCCAATCCCAAATGGCACACTTCATGTGCACTTTCGGTCTTGTGGACTTACAATGGCTGCCGCGTGTCCGTTAAGTCCGTGAGACCGTAGTGTGTCCCATTTGTCATTTTTAGATCTCAGAAGGGTGCTCGCGAGCGCCCCGTGTGGTCGATTTGCGCCCTTGATGCGCACTTTTGCCGAGCCCGTGCTGATGCGGACTCCACAGCAGACTTCTTCCCGACAGTCAAAGCGGCATTACATTACGAAAGTGCGGACTCAGAGGAAGACCGCGAGTGCTTAGGGTTCCATTTGGGACAGGGCCCAACATAGTCCTCTACCCACGAGGGTAGGAGGAGTTTCAGTCAAACAAAAAAATAGTAAAACAAAACAACCAGGCTGAGCCTACCGACGGAAGGACCACTTAATGGCTTTTCCAAAAGCGCAATCCTACTCACGCACACACACGTCACCGTGCACTAGATCACACACACAGGCACTTCAAAAGTGTCACCCACTGCAACACCACCACTATCACCATGCACGAGAAGGTCCTTCCGCCTGGCCACCTCAGTCCCTGAGAAAACAAATACACTGAGTTTAGTAAAACCCAAAAATAAATAGCCAAAAGAAAATATAATAATCAAGGTCAGCAACGACACACAAAAATAATTACAGAAACAAAATCAAAACAAAATACACACAGCTAAACTAAAGAAACAGAACAGAATCACAGCAGATAGAGCTGGTGCAGCACACACACACATACACACGCTCACGCGTGCTCACACACAATGGTTCTCGTACAAATAACAGTCAATTATTGTTGATCATAACTTTTCTATCACATTAAAAACGAAACGAAGTAGACGATGCAAATCCTGCTGCTGACCCACGGCCCGATCGCAGCGTAAACACGTGCTTCTCAAATGCACTCAGGTTATACTAAGCGCTAGAGGTCTGCTACCCGACCCGAGCCCGACGGGTCCCGAAAGACGTGCGGGTTTCGGGTCGGGTTCGGGTTAATGTTTAATGAACAGCCTCGGGTTCGGGTCGGGTTCGGGTTTAACTAAGAAAAACTAAATAGGCTATATATAGTTTGCGTGCCGTGTGCTTTGCCTGCTTGCTGTGTTGTGGTGACCGGCACGCGAGAGAGAAAACATACGTGCGCAGATGTACAATATGTGCATACACACAGTCAGACACAGGCTCTCTCTCTCAAATATAATGATAATGATATATATATATATATATATATATATATATATAATTTTTTTAATTATTTGTTTTATTTTAGCATATCATTTATATCACAAAACTGTTTTGTGCATGTGCTACCGCTCTCGCGCGCTATTTCAGTCACAATACAGACAGAGACAGCAGACTACAACAAGCAAACCATGAGTCTGATAAAGCAAAAAATTACTTGGTAAGTTTTTTCTCTTACTGCTGTGCTGCCTGCTGATAGGGCCGCTGCGCCTACATGTATTTGTTTAATATGTCAAGCAATCATTAAATACAACATAGCATATTGCAAAAATGGTATTTGCTGTGAGAAACAGAATGGACCTCGGGTTCGGGCTTAATGTGTAAATGTAATTGTCGGGTCGGGTCGGGTCGGGTTAAATGATCGCGGGTACGGGCCGGGTTCGGGCTTCAGTTTAAAGCCCATGCAGACCTCTACTAAGCGCACTTCACTGCAGAAACAGGAGGGAGATCGCACTGAAGACGAGAGCGAAGAACGGTCCGGAGGATGAGAGAGAAGACCCACGCCTTAAAGGAAGCGAGATGTTACTAATGCTCTTTTACTTCAATTTCCATCCATCTTACATAACACTTACCACAAGAGAATATTCCTCACATATAATTCCCTCTGGCTACTGTTTACAGCAATCATCAAGACCGCCGATTAACTGGGGTACAGGAAGCAACACATTAACAGTAACATAGCGACCCACTATTACCCAAGGGGGTAATCCATCGACCGGAAGTTGAAGCCGGCCGGGTACCGCCATCTTGTAGCAGAACTTCACTTGCGTTAGCATTTCCATTGACTACCATTCATTTTGGCGTCACTTTGACAGCGAATAAATTTACATCTGAGTCGTTTAAAGACTCCATTTGTCCATTATTTATTTCTAAAGAAACACGACAATGTATAAATGGCTCCATTACCTTCTATGTTACATTATGGCCCCGTAGAAACAGTTTTAGTAAAAATAGGCTAACGATTGCGTCATAACCACTCGACTCTCTGTCGCGCTGTACAGAAATTACAGACAGGAGGAGAAGCTCGCAGGCAATCGGGGGGACGTCCCGTCAAGGGAGAAGCCCATAGATAATGAGTCCATAAAAGCAACGGAATACTTACTCCTGCTCACTCACGATAAAGGACTCTTTGCTCAAGTTCCCCGTCTCTGCAAGATTAACGTTGGCCATTTTCACGCACAGCTACTAGAAGATTCACGTCTGTCAGACAGGTTGCTCACGTCATCAAGCTTAGTTTGAGTCGGTCTGAGTCTGCGCGTCAGGAACGGAAGTGCTCAAAAATCGCTAAAAGTGGGCTTCAACTGTCTCAACTGAGTTCCAATGAGATCGCTCTGTCCATTTCTTTTACTGTCTATGCTATTACCGCACCCCAGTACTCAATACAGAGACAGAACATACCTGAAGGGTGAACAGACACACACTCTGAACTGATAACGTGCACCGTCGGAAAAGTGCTGATGGACAGCTACAATTTGAAGGGATGACAACACATCAGTCGTGTTCTAAACACCTGATTTAAACCAGACGCCATCAACACATACCTGAGACTCGAGTGAATGACGCACGCGGGGCGGAGCAAAGACGTGACGTATCTCCGGATACAGCCAACCCGCATTAAATAGATCATACTCTCCCCTGATAGGACGCCACAACTGTCAATCACTTAACTGATTATGTCACAGTAACATCCTACAAGGTAAAAAAAAAAAAAAAAGGATGACATCTAGTCGAGAAGACTAGTAATAATATTCACGTTAATCAGATATTGGTTGTGTAAGAGATCGTCCCTATACCCTCATATCAATATCATATTTATTTCTAGAACACAGTTCCAGTAGTGGGATTGAATGTGAGATTGAATAAGTGCACTCGTATAATAACGTCCACAATGGGGGACACCCAAATGGCTGTTCCCTCAAATAGTGCCCTATTTAAAGTCTCTTTGAAAAGTGTTTTGGCTTTTAGAATATGTTAGCCTTACTGTTATCTATAAGCTAGTGTACTCCAACACAATGACAAAATTCGCATTTGGAAGACCAAACCCAATGTTGAAAATAAAAATCAGGTTGATGTCAGAATCCAACATCAGATTGACGTTAATCTCCAATGTTGGACAGACGTTGTATTGTGGTTGAAAATAAAAATCGGGTTGACACCAGAAACGAAGATCAGCCGGGTTCTGACATCAACCCGACTTTAATTTTCAACCAAAATCCAACGTCTATCTGACGTCGGATGGTGACGTCATAACCCGACGTCGGGTTATGACGTCAGCATCCGACGTCAACCCGACTTTCATTTGCAACCAAAATCATCCCCTGACTGACGTTACTACTTTCTACTCAAGGACCTTGACATAAATATAGTGGAGTAAAAAGTATGATATTTGTCTTTCAAATGTAGTGAAGTTAAAGTAAAAAGTTTCCATAACAAAAAATAATACTCAAGTAAAGTACATATACTCAAAAAGTGTACTTAAGTACAGTACTCAAAAATGTACTTTGTTACGGTCCATCTCTGGTTTTGCCATATCAGTTTGAGCCCAATAATAACAGTAAAGAAGAACAAGCGGATCAACTCGAACCAAGACTTGTGCAGGAGTTTCACAGTGGGAATTTTTTGTTTTATACCTCTCTAGTGATTATAACGGTCATTTATAACATCTGACTTACATTGAACTGCATGGTTCAGAAAGCAGTCATTAGAAAAAATTGTGAGAAAACAAAGGTTGTGGTTGTAAACTGCTGAATAAAAGTGTTTAAATTAGTGCTGTCAATCGATTAAAAAAATTAACTAGATTAATAAAAAAAATCTGTGAATAATCGCAATCAAAAACACTTACGTTTTTATAATTGTTTTAATATATTTTAATATATTTTATAATGTAATACTTTCACAGTTAATCTCCAAATGAATGTAGAAACAACATAACAACAGTATATTTTAAATACTTGTTTAATGGCATATTTTTATGAATGAAGCCCCCCCCTATTATAAAAGCATAATAGGACCACTTTAAAAGTACTGCTCCACTGACAAGCTGTCGCTCCTCTAAAAGTGCAAATGCTGTCAGATCTTCCCTTGTATTGAACCCAGAACATCTATTTAAGTGAAAAACAATGCTGTAACAAAGACACTTGTGGGTCAGCAAAGTTTTGAAGTGAAAACCTGCTTTTTTCATTTTATTTGCTCTGGAACTGTTATGCTGGCATAATCATTTATGCTGATTTATAAACCTCCAATAGAAGTTTGGTCGCGTCCATACTTGATTTTTTGTTAATCATGCATGTCACAACTGATTGTTGTTTAAACAGTCTTCTAGGTTTTATTAGAGAGATTAATTTACAAATCCTCCATCGTAAAACAGGACCTGTTTGGGAGTGCACGCATCAGCAGAGTCATGATGGATGTGAGTAAGAGCCAAGCGCTAATCGATTTAAACTTCAGTCCTTTCATTCATACAGCACTCATTATCAGTCAGGCCATTCCCATAATGCATTACTCTTCAAGGATGATCTGGCAACGTCAGCAACATAAATCATACCTGGCTCTGTCTTTTCCAATCAACCGCTGCTGGTCTATTATCAACGCATCCGTCGTGAGAAGCGCAACACATAAAAACCAGCAAACGCAGGACTTTATCAACATACAGTATTGACTGTACTTCCTGATTTCAATGTAATTCAATGTAAATGTTAGTATAAACTGCAAATTGTTATGAAGGCTTTCCAAGGCCTGATCAAAGCTCGAATCCTGTGAACAAAGAGTTCATAAGTTCAGATGCTGCTAATTAAGTCACTGGTTGGGAATGATTGTGGCAATGTTGCCTAAGTATAATATATTCACATACAATACAGTTCAAAAGTTTGTGGTCAGTAAGATTTTTTTATGTTTTTGAAAGAAGTCAAAAATTAGTACAATTTAAAATATATTTTCTATTATATTTTAAATTAAAATATTTAAAATGTAATTTATTCATGTGATGGCAAATCTTCTTTTTCAGCAGCCATTACACCAGTCTTCAGTGTCACATGACCTTTCAAAAACAATTCTAATATGCTGATTTTGTGTGGTCCCACTTTATATTAAGTGGCCCTAATACCTGTGAACTTACATGGTTACTAGATATGTACTTAGTATGTAACTACAGTGTAAATACACATTGGTACATAGTATTTACAACTGTAATATTTGTGTAACTACACATATGTAACAACCCACGGAAAGGTATGTGTAAGTACAAATGTGTAACAGGACATTGGTAACAACACTTTTTCCACTACAGTAGGTACACATGTGTAACAGGCATTATGTAACTACATTTTGTAACAACAATATGTATTCACACAAGTTGTTCCACTTCCACACGCAGTCTTCCATACTGTAGTTACCAGTTAAGAACACACTGAAACCATGATGATTCCTATGTGTATACCATGTATTTACTATATGACCGGCAGGACTTATGTTGAATTACAGCTAAAGTTTTCCCTTGTGGTACCAGTGTACATGGTAACTCCTCAGGAACTCTGCACTTGATACAATGTGTTAAACTGTCATAACTTACATGTATTATGCAAAACCCAAACCTCTGTGCAACTGTACTAACAGTGTACTAACATGGTAACTCCTCAGGAACTGTCCACTTAATATAAAGTGTAAAATGGTCATAACTTACTGTGTATTATGCAAAACCCAAACCTCTGTGCAACTGTACTAACAGTGTACTAACATGGTAACTCCTCAGGAACTGTCCACTTAATATAAAGTGTAAAACGGTCATAACTTACTGTGTATTATGCAAAACCCAAACCTCTGTGCAACACTGACTGTATTAACAGTTAACTTACTTACATGGTAACTCCTCAGGAACTGTCCACTTAATATAAAGTGTAAAACGGTCATAACAGAGACCATCTCAGCAAACCCAAACCTCTCATAGTTTTATTAACAATAGCATTAAAATATATTTTGAGCCACTAATCCTACTCATACCCCTAAACCTACCCATAACCATTCCTTAAAACTACGTAGGCTAACGTTACACTTATGAAGAAAATAAAAACATAACAGACAGACAAGTAACGTTATAAATTTCACAATAATTTGTTTATTGCGAAAATGTCAAAACCGGTACCAAAAGTCGTTCACATGATGATGCGTTGCAGCCGCAGTCCTCTCTGGCAGTATTATAATAGTTGTGTATGAGGTACAGATCAGAATATAAATTATTAATCCATGAAAATGTTAATCCGGTTTCGGTTCGCTCTGTGAAGGCTCGCGCGCTTCTCCATTTCAAATGTACTACACCGACTGAATCACGGCATGTCGCAATCTGTGACGAAGCAGGCGAGAGCCAATGAGCGTTTGATATCACGGCCGTAAAACATGTCGTAACGCTTCTTGAAGGCGCATTTTTTTAATTTGAATTCATCACCAGCGCGCCTGAGCGCGGGATTTGACGTTTGCGGTCGCTGCTGAGAAATGGAGATGAAGATCATAAAGGGCTGAATTTGGATCTGTTTCTTGCAAACAACGTATGGATTCTAAAGATTTGGATACATCAGGCTAATACAATTGATGTTTTTTTTGTGAATTTATGTTGTGTTTTATTGGAGAAAAAGCTTTTTGTGTCTCAAGGTAAATAAACTAAATACTACAAAATGGTTAAACGATTAAACAAGGTATTTTTAAGGTTTTAAAGTGTAGGCTATTCTTGTTTATTGTTTACAGAACACTGTAATTTACTGTAAAGGCAAATAGGTCACCACAATGTCAAATCAAAAAATCTAAAATAAAGAGTAAATCTTTAAAAGTGCTATGCCGTAATATCCCAGAATCTTTCAAAGCATAACTATCACATTTATATTTCAGAGTTTACTATCCACTACGTAACCTTGTGTTTTGCATTTACTGTGGTACACAACAATGACCCTAACAATTACACTTTATATTAAGTGGACAGTTCCTGAGGAGTTACCATGTTAGTACACTGTTAGTACAGTTGCACAGAGGTTTGGGTTTTGCATAATACATGTAAGTTATGACCATTTTACACTTTATATTAAGTGGACAGTTCCTGAGGAGTTACCATGTAAGTACATTGTTAGTTGGGTTTTGCATAATACATGTAAGTTATGACAGTTTAACACATTGTATTAAGTGCAGAGTTCCTGCGGAGTTACCATGTAAGTACACTGTTAATACAGTGTTGCCCAGGGTTGGGTTTTGCATAATACATGTAAGTTATGACAGTTTAACACATTGTATCAAGTGCAGAGTTCCTGCGGAGTTACCATGTAAGTACACTGTTAATACAGTGTTGCACAGAGGTTTGGGTTTTGCATAATACCTATAAGTTATGACCATTTTACACTTTATATTAAGTGGACAGTTCCTGAGGAGTTACCATGTAAGTACACTGTTAGTACAGTTGCACAGAGGTTTGGGTTTTGCATAATACACAGTAAGTTATGACCATTTTACACTTTATATTAAGTGGACAGTTCCTGAGGAGTTACCATGTTAGTACACTGTTAGTACAGTTGCACAGAGGTTTGGGTTTTGCATAATACATGTAAGTTATGACAGTTTAACACATTGTATCAAGTGCAGAGTTCCTGAGGAGTTACCATGTATATACACTGGTACCACAAGGGAAAACTTTAGCTGTAA